TAAGCTGCCAGAATTTGTACATCAATCTAGAACTGGAAAGAATCCCACCTAACAAGCTTCAACAATTAGAGTCCTCCATTCCCAAAATGCTTATTGAGTGTTGTTAAAAGGAAAGGTGGTAAACAGTGGTAAACAGACCCCTGTCCCTGCTTTTTCTGGAAATGATTTGTAGGCATTAAATTCAAAATAAGTGAACATTTGCAAAAAAAAACTATAAWTTTTATCCTTTTGAACATTAAATATGTTTGTACACAATGTCCCAACTTCATTGGGATTGGTGTATATTTTCTCTTGGTGTGGATATGATTGGTTTGCCTCCATGTGTCCCTGTGATGGACTTGGGTGTCCCCGTCTTTCATACAGTGTGACTGCTGGATACCAGCTCCCCATGATCCAGAAAGGTGAAATAGACTAGATGAATTTATAAAATCTCAACAATAAACCCTTTAAGATCTTCTGAAAAGCTATCTGCTTTTGATGTTTCTTGATGAGACAAAGGAAGCTTAGATCTGAATCTTCTTCAGTTAATCATTGACCATCAGTATCAAACAGTAACAGACATTACTATCCTTCCGGAGCCAAGGTGACGGGGGCGTGATTGAACTTTCCTCTTATATAATCGAAACACCTCTGTAAGCATTGTCCTTTTTATTTTAAGCTGTAACACAAGCTATTTGTAAAAGAATAAAAGAATAAAACTTCCATAGTGTCGGCAGGAGTCAGTTTTATCCTCAGCAAAGCTTACAGCATAAATAACACAATGCAAAGACTCCAAACGCTTTTCTGTGATAGTCGTCTCTGCTGTCAGCAAAAACAGACGTCTTAACTCTCCTCCCTGCTTTTACAGCACAGCGTGGTTTAATTTATGGCAGTCGTTGAAGATTAAACTGCTGAAAAATCCACCCACGTCTTGGATTTGCTCTGACGGGAGGATCCAAGAGGGAAGCGAGAGGGCGGGGTTGACTCCCGGGGTGACTCATGGAGAAGTTACCTCTAACGGTGATTTATGATCCATAATAATCGTAACTTTGAAAGAACAACACCGAGATGTTGTATCCCCATGCTAAGTATGTGTGCTTTTATCTGTTTCTGCTTTAAATGACTTCAATGTACTCGGACGGAAGGAACACGGAGGACAAATATGTCATTTCTACAGTGAACTATGCTCCGTGTCTATCATGAGTGTGTGATAACAAGTATTTATGATTTAAAGATGTGCTTTTATCAGTTTGGAGCTGTAAATCTGAAGGTGAAGAGTCTCAACCATATGAGCTCAGGYCAATCAAATCACAAAAAGCAATGTCCAAAATGACTAATACACTTTATATAAATGAGAAATTATTCTAGAGTTTCTTGTATTTCTGTGGGTCATTCTATCTATATTAAATAGGTAAAAATGAAGAGTGTTTCATACGGCACTAAGATAAACTAAAAAAAAAGTAAAGGTTTTGGAAGAATGCCTATAACCTTTTTGTCCAAGAGTTTAATTTTCTATGGTGAAATAACAAATTTATATGCGTTTTAGTCAATTGGTGAAAATAAAATTGTGTATTGCAGAGCTTTTGGGTAATTCGTACAAATTATTTGTTGAGGATAACTACCTGCTTCTACCACACCAAACTTTAGCTCATTATCTGTAAAACCAACTCAGTTATTTACAAATTTTGTTGGCTTAGGTTGATTAGTTGTGGCAGCCATCTTGAATTGACTCAAAAAGCCCACGGAGGCCACACCCTATGCAGTCCATGTAGGCTGCATAAAATGATGGATCATGTATATTTGCGTGATCGCACACTACCTCGTTACAACTAGGGCTGCAACTAACGATTATTTTAATAATCGATTAATCGGTTGATTAT